GTTCGTTCTTAGAACAGGCAACACTGAGCAAGACCAGTGTAATCAAAGGCAGAGGGCTCTCCTTCAGCCCAGCGAAGAGTCAACCCGGCAGATTCAGCAGCCTGAGAAGGGCCTGGGGTGCTTGCTCAGAACACGGTAGGCAGTGTAATAATTAGGATGATACTCAAGTTATGTAAAATCACTATGGTCGTATGATCTGGTCCGGATAATAGTTTCATGTTAACAAAAAATTTTAAATAGGAATTTTTTAAATCATAGAGTTAAAAAAAAAACAAAACTTGCTTTCCAAGAAATTTAAAATCACAGAAATGTTGCCAGATTTGCCTTCAGAGCAATGTCTTTTTGGTGTCACTTGTGTAGTCAGCATGTGGGTGACATTTAGACCCAAGCTTGGCTTACAAGTGTGATTCATGAGAACACATCAGATGGTGAAAGTGGGGGAAATTTTCCTTGATACTCAGAGGGAGCAGCTTGGAGCAGCCACGCTGCTCCGGGCAATTGAGGAAGTGACACAGCAGGGCCTCCCTCAGTTAAAAACCATCACTTCCAAAAACTCTTGAAATCTGAACTCCAGCCCTTGATGGCAGCCAACTGGGTCCTGTAAGAGAAACCTGTGGGGGTTTCAGAAACATTCAGATGTGAGTGGAAAACTCAAGCCAGGATGACCTCTAGCAAAAACCCAGCCGTTACTTTCCTCATTAATTGAAAAAGGCATTTGAAGCAGTGTCCATTCAAATATCCACATCCTTATCAAAGAGTGTCCCTGATCGCTGGCCTCCTGGTGTTCTAGAGGCGTCTCATTGCGCTTCATTGGCTTCTTCTCCATCCACGAAGACTAATGTTCAACATACGTAGAATATCCCTTCCAGATGATTATAGATAATAAAAAAGACATCTAGGAGACATAAGGGCCAAACAGCATAAAAATGTGGTGCAGTGCAGATCTGTGGGTTTATTTCTAACACATTATAAAGTGATGGGGTTGGAGGTGGTCATTTAGACCCAAGTTGGGCTTACAAGTCTGTCGTTTGCTGCTGATGAAAGACTTTGACAGTCCTCATAGAAATGCTGAGAGAGATTCCTGAAGAAGGCTAATGATGTTGCTCCATTATAAAGCTAAGGGATGAGAAACAGACTCATAGTGCTTTATTTAGAGCTTGAAATTTTTGTTTGTTATTTTTTCAATTAAAAGCCTAGACTAATCAGGTGTGTCCAACTTTTTGGTGTCTCCGTGCCACACCAGAAAGAAGAAGGGTTGTCTTGGGCCACACATTAAGTACGTTGCAGCACATAATCATAAAAAAAAGCATAATGTTTTAAGTAAAGTTATGATTTTGTGTTGGGCTGCATTCATAACCATCCTGGACTGCGTAAGGCCCGTGGGCCGCAGGCTTGATGGCCCCGGTAGATTTGCGGGTTAGACTTCATTCATACCTGTGAACACTGGTTTAGTCCAAAGTTTCTTTTTCTCCCCCAGCCATGCATATGGCAGAAGCATCTAAGCTGAATGCTTTTCACTTTCATTATAATATAATGTCAGGCTTGTAACATATGACAGCAGGTTTCACACTCCACTTGATAAGAGGCTGCCAGTGCCTGGACAAGTAACAAGGAAGGTATATGTGCCCAGCACTAAATGGAAGAACATTGCTAACATGGCAATTGTCAAGACTTGGTGTGTATCGTGGCTCTAGGTGTAGCCAAACTTATATGTGAGGTGACTTTATATAGAACCTTCCAGGGAGCAGCAATAAAAGTATTCTTTGTTAAGGATTTGGTAGTTCCTTATGTTGACTGAAAGTCCACCGAGTGTGAGACAGAATGACTTGGGAGCACGTTAAGTCATACTTCTGCACCTGGGTGGCTTTGTGGCCCCCAAGGAACCTGATGTATTTTTTTCTCATATTTTGCTTTAGTTGCCAAGAAGCTTGGAGATCAAGTTGCTACTTAAAACTGAATTGTCAGCCTCAGTTTTGGTCCATTTGCAAATTCAGCCCTATGCTTCAGGAACTTGGTCAGACTGCAGTGTCTGCCCCCAGTGGTGAGCGTGTATGTTAAATGATGAAAAATGGAAGAGGAGGCACATAGAGTAATAACTACGTTCAGTGGCAGAATGTGTCAGGGGTATGGAAAAGACAGAAACGCCGTACTCTGGACAGTCCGAGGAAAGAGAGGAACTGGAGAGTCGTCCTGGGAGGAGGAAGCAGGCTTCGTGATTGCCTTTGTTAGGGGTTTCAGCAGGTGGATTCTTGGCAAGGGATGGTAAGAGCAGGTGGAGGGAACAGCGAAGCAAGGTGAGAGAAGCTAGGGACTTCCTGGGGACCCCCCAGTGGAGGGTTCGGCGTCAGGGTTTACGGGTGTAGGAAAGAATCTGCAGGCCACATCATGCATCAGAGCTGCTTCTCACAACCTAAGGACAAGCAAGACATGTCCTGCTAAGGACACCTAAGACTCAGCTCCTCTCCACGCCCCTCCCTGGCCACCCAGCCTCCTGAGGACGCCGCAGCAGCGATTGTTCACGTGATTCATGGAGCACTTCCAACAAAACCTACTCTGGAGCCAGTGGGGGACAGCTCGTGCCCTGATGTCCTTGTCTTTCCATCAGGTTACAAGTGTCACCATGACTTACGTACCTTTCACTGTCCCCTGACCTCTGCTGGCACCTACTTTGTGTGAGGCCTCAGGCAGCCTGTGCCTCAAAACGGTTTTTGTTTTGAAAAACTGATCAGAAAATTTTAGAGGGAGTATGAGTTTCCTTTATGTAGAGAAAAGCAGTCTGATTCTACTTTTCAGACAAATCTTCGGGCTCATCCCCCCATGATCCCTTCACCTGAGATCCAGGGGGCTATGTATTTGATGGACAAGCTGTAAATGGTCTTTGGTGGAGTTCTGATTGAATCCATGATACGTACCCAACAAATATTACTGCAGTCCCCACTCAGTAAGCAGTGTATTTAATTCATAAGCTGCTTAGTGAAAATACACACATTGGCATTATGCGTGTAAGATCTGGTGAAACTCTAAAATCTGCCGTTTGAGTAAAGGTGTGGATGGTCTCCGTGTCGACCAATGCCCTGGTTTTGTACATATGCTATGGTTGCATAAGATGTATCACTGGGGAAGGCTGGCTGAAGGGTCCATGGGAACAGTCTGTACTATTTTTGTGCATTCTTACAAGTCTTAAATTATTCCAAAATAAAAATAAAAAGTTTGTTGTTTTCTTTTTGAGAGCACAACAGAATCAAAGAGATCATCCAGTCCAGTTTTCAAACATGATTTAGCAGCGGCCTCCCTCTCACGCCCTCTCCCTCCCGCTGCCCCAGTGGCACCCAGGCACCTGCTCACCACTGCAGGGCTCTGTGAAATGCCACTTCAAAGAGCCTCATCCGGTCCGCCACTTTCAGGCTCCAGATGAGGCAATCGGGGCCCAAAGAAGTAAAATACACCACTCCTTAGAGACTATTGATAGAAACACGGAGCCTGGGTAGTTCTTCAGTGCCGTTGCTCTCTGCAAGTCACCATGAACTCCCAGCTCTTTAGCTAACACTGTGGTTCCTTTTCTCAGATGAGGTGAGATCATTTCACCTGGAGGTCTGCTGCTCCCGCATTCCCTTCCTGGTGTGTGGGAGTTATCCTCCTCCATGTGGTCGATCCAGGGCACAGCTGGTTGGCAGGCGGTTTCACAATTTACCACTCAGCATAGGGCGTTTGCTTCGGAAGGCTAGGCTTTGGCAGATAGCAGGAACTGGGAACCTCAGAGGATGTCCCCTGGCTTCTGGCCACCTTGGCATCTGCCCTGACCACTGATCAAGACTGAGGCCAGTTCGCTTTCCTCTTCCTTCCCATTCAGGCCCAGGTCACTAAAGTTAGGGAAACGTTGGGCACCTTGGCTTACTTCCAAGAATCATATAACTGCAATAATCTTCTCTTGTATTTGTCTAGAGATTTTCAGGTTGTGAAGCCCTTATATGTTCCCTAGGTTAAGCCTCACTCCAGGCTATCACAGAGGCAGACTGGTTTTCCTTCTGCTTTACAAATAAGGGACACGACTTTTCCAGGGTCACTCACTGAGTTTGTGTCAAGGCTGGAGTCAGAACACAAGTCTCCACCATCCTGGTAGATAGTCTTATTATAGGGGCGATTTTGGTCATTGTAAAGCACCTACACAAGAGTGACGAGCAAAAAACAGGTGGTGGTGTTGCTGTTGTCCTTGTCATTGTGAGCACGATCCTTGGCCACTCATGACTTTGAAGTATGAGGACTCCAAATCTTGGCATTCTCCAGACTTACCCAGGAGGTGAAGCAATGGTTTCCTCTCTTCCTATACCTCCAAATGGTTAGAGCCTGAAGGCGCCACATGAGGGTTGCATGAGTAAGACTTAGATTTTCCTGAAAAAAATGCAACCAGTTACCGGTGTGCCAGGTCAACAGGGATCAATGTGACAACCAACCAGCAGGACAGCTGCCCTGGAGCTGCCTGGTGCGCCTGGGCTCCGGGAGGCTGTGTGTCACTGCAGCGTTCGTTTGTTCAGCACCCATGGTCAGCGCCTTGCTTCTGTAGGGGAGACTGGCTGTGTCCTTCCCCCAGCGCCCCCTTTGCCCTCCCTGTGGTAGGGCACAGCCTTTGCTGTCCTCGTGGGAGCTTTTAATGAAAACTGTCACTGGCTTCCTCCTCTGACCTTCTTCTTAATGTCCTAGGATATTGGGGGAAATGGATGGACTGCTTTAAAGCCCATACTTCTTCAGTCCATATTTGCAGGTACTACTTACTAGGAAAACTAACCTCTTGGGGTGTTGATTTTTCACACCCCAAGAGACACTTAGAAAGCAAAGTAGCGACTGTCTCAAAAATGTTGTTAAGCACCTACACAGGTGGGCACCTAGCACCCGTTAGGCACCTACTACATGTCTGAGTAACCTTTGAATGGGGTGTGGTGGGGACTGGCATTGGCTTAACCCTTTCATGGCCGGAATGAGTAATGTGCTTCTTTTCCCCACAGGACCCCAGGAGCAAGCACAAGTTTAAAATCCACACTTACGGAAGCCCGACCTTCTGTGATCACTGTGGGTCATTGCTCTATGGACTTATCCATCAAGGGATGAAATGTGACAGTAAGTAAGTTTTCTTTTCAGTAGATGGTGAGGTTCTGAAGCACGTGCCCAGAGTTCCCCGAGCACTTCAGGCTCAGTAGCATTTCAACACCAACTCGTCAATGAAGAGAGAATCATTCAGGTTTATAGCAGACCAATAAAGTGTATGATTTTTCCACTCTTAAAGGTCTGGTTTATTAAACCACTTAATTGCCTAATTGTGAACCAAAACAAGCACCCCATTTATACATGAGGCTGGTGCTATCGCAGTTTTTCATGGTCGAAATCTTCAATCACTATGAAATGCAGGCTGGTCAAACCCCAAAGCAAATGCCATGTGTTGAAAAAGGGCTCCACACCTCCAGATTCCACATTTGGTTAGGCTTCAAAATAAGCTAAACCACCATAGTCATTATCTTTCTATGTCTCTAATTAGTGGGTGGACTGTGGAAAAATCCAGTAGGTTCTCCTTAAACTGAAACCACAATGAAAATAAAACCCAGGGTGGTATCTTCCTTAAGCTCACGCACCCTGCTTGGCCATGGGCAGCTCGGATTCCTGTGAGTCCAGTTGGAGACAAAGTCATTGAAGACCACGGACGAGGAGGACTTCAGTCTCCTCCATCCTCCCATTTGATTCTGTATGTATCTCCATCAGCTCCCAGGAGGAAAGGAAAACAACTGTGGAAACTTTGCTTTGATAATTCTTATATTTCAAAATTCATTTCCCAGGCTATTGATTTGCTTAAATAAAAGGATATACTTTTAGAATACAAAAGTACTGTGTCTGTTTTTCTAGTAGACAAGAAAGCGTTATGGAAATAGCAGCATGTTGTCATTCATTAATGATTACTATTATGGCCAGTAGCATCCTATGTATCTCTTAGATGGAGTAGACACAGTACATAGAAATAAAGATACATGAACTTTACAGAGCATTTGGGTAGTTTCTCAGAATACAGGGCTCTCCCCTCCCAAAGCTGTGGAATTTAATAGCCTAACAAAACCTTGGTGAGGATCCAGACCCGTGGCCTGCTGTACTTCAAGAAATCCCCGGATTCCAAAGACATGGTTTTTAGGGGTTCTGCAAGTGCAGATTCTAAGTGCATTTGTAAATATACTTTTAACTGCTTGAAAACTTGGAACAAAAATGAACACTTGAATGTGTTACACATTCAACCTTGACAAGCTGAAGGTGTTGGAGCCCTGATGCTGCCCAGCGTCACTCATTGGGAAGAACATGCAGTCAAGTTTCTCCTGCTACATCCACTGAACTGAAGAGCCGATGGGGACAGTTGAAGCATGGACGTAAACAATGTGACCATTTGTACTTCACTTCTGAAGGAGCTGGGATTTGGGGCACTGTGTAACTTTAACAAGATACATAAACAAACGAGTTCTGAGGCAGAATAGAACTTTGGTTGGATCAGAGAGCTTCATTGGTTATCCATGAATGTCTTTATAATAAATAAATGGTATAAATTTGAATTTATTAACCAAGTTTATGCTAATATATTAAAACTCATCTGGTTTAAGTTTTAGGATTCTGCTCAAGATTTTGTTTGAAAAATGGGTTCCATTACTAAAAGGAAAAAAATTCTAAAAATCAGTACTTTTTTTTTTGTCCTCCTTTCCTTGGAGCCCCAGGGTGTCTGGGGCACCTGCCTGTGCTCCTTCCTGGGGGGGGTGGGGTCAGGACCCCAACCCCTCCCCCACCTTCTGCAGAGAAGAATCTTCTGCCTGAGTCTACACATTGTAGGGCCGTAACACTGTACACAATTCTACTTGGTGGAAAAAAACTTATCAACCACTTGCCTGGGCCAGCCTCTTCAGTTTGCAGAGTAAGAAATGGAATCAGAGAGAGCAGATAAGCTTCCCAAGATATAAAAGCCACTAATAGTAGAAGCTAAGACAAGAGCCCAGCCCTGTGTGCCTTCACCTCCCACGCCCTCCCTGTTGTCTGGATCCTTCTCAGAGGCCGTGGCCTTTATTGCCTTTAAATTTCAAATTCTTCCTAGGCACTTAAAGATATTTCAAGAGCCTATATCTTTGCTAAGTCAAGGTTCATGGCCTTGAACAGTTAGCTTTGGAAAGAGGGACCTAACCAGAATCCATGAGTGTGAATCAACCAGTTGTTGTCTCCTCCTCATGTCCAGTATCCTGCCTTCAGCGTTCAATCACAGCGAATAGACATCCTCCACTGTGCTTTCTGCAATTTATTTCACCACGCTAAAATTAAACCCTCAAAATGAAATGGCACGACGGCCACACCTTGAAGGTTACAGAAGAGCCTCGTGGCCTCCCATCAAGGATTTGTGAGGATTCCAGTGGCCAGGTGTCCTCTGGAAGCCTGAGGTACAAGGACCATGGAGCGGCAACACCTATGCAGAGTCTTGTGTTTGTATTCAGCACACAGGATTCTTTTCACGGTGTCTTTGGTTCATTGCAATGACTAGTCTTTTTTTTTAATCCTCCCCCGTCTCACCCACGTAATGTCAGCTGATAAAGAATGGCGTATCGTGCCAGGCGTGTATTTGTTTTACTTGGGATAATATTCAAATATTTGAAGACAGGTTTAAAATATCAAATACAAGTTCTTTTTTTTCTAAAAAAAAAAAAAAGGCAAAAGCAATGTATTTAAGCCTTTTTTAAAATACAGAGTTAGCTCAGGAAAATTTTATGAATTTCCTATACTCAACCCACAGATTCTCACCCCTTCTGAGTGGTGAGCTAGGAAGGCATAAGAAATTGTTTTGCAAAAAAAAAAAAAAAAAAAGGGCCTCTGTTTAAAATGTGCATATTATTTGCCTCTGTGTACAAAAATATGAATTAGCCTGTGCTTTGTATGCATTTACCGATGTGAATTTTGTCTACTGTTAAATATTTGAAGCAGTCATGGAAGACCAAACAGGGGTATTTGCTTCAGCTGAGACTGGACAAACATGGTGTGGATATTTTAAGGATATTGTCATTCACACGAAGCCTCTGCTGTAAGGGACATCTGCTAACAGCTCTTTATGTCACCAACAACATTATAGCAAAGTATCAAGATCAAGAGTAGCTCGTTTTCACTTGTGCTCCCACAACCAAAACACTGAGGAAGCAGTGGTTCAGGTCCGTATGCCCAGCCTCAGTCTTTGCTTTCTTGATCCGCAGCCTGCGATATGAATGTGCACAAGCAGTGTGTCATAAATGTCCCCAGCCTCTGTGGGATGGACCACACCGAGAAGAGGGGCCGTATCTACCTGAAGGCTGAGGTCACCGATGAAAAGCTCCACGTCACAGGTAAGGCACGCTCATGGAGGTGTCAGGATGCAGCTTCCCTGCGGGCGTTCAGATGAAGGTCGCGGTGACACCAAGAAAGGCCTCAGATACCTGCGCTCGTTGTTGCCTTGGAGCTGGTCCAACTCAGAGCCCCCAATCCCCGTTAGCATGTCTCCTAGGAGATTGCTCTGAATGCGAATTCCCAAATGCTCAATGTCATCCAGAGCCATAACTCTGACAGCATGGCAGGTGTATTATCCCCTGGTGACCAGGGGTCAGGGAAGCCAATGAAGCAAAAATGCAGTGGGTGAGAATGGAACTGGGGCAAGGCAAGGGGAGGCGATGGATGACCCAGGTGTTTAAAGGTGTCAGGCTGTGCTGACCTGGTAAGTCCGCCTTAAGGACAGTAACAACAAGCAACCAGTGAGCGTTTATGCTTCCTCCACATTAGGCGTCATGCTAAGAACTCCATGTAGGTTAATTTATCTAGTGCCCATGACTACCCAATGATGAGCCTCATTTTCCAGAAGAGGAAGCCGAGACCCAAAGAGATCAGTAACTTGCAATGTCACAGAGTAGAGCCAGCTTGACTCTATACCCTGTGCTTCTAATTATCCCACCACGTGCACCTCCTGCAAACAGCCCAAGCCCAGGCCCAGGATCCCCCGCTGTTCAAGGGCCAGGAAACTGCCCCCCCAACCCCAGGGCTATGTCTGGGTGGGCTCTGCTGCAACACGGCTGTTCCTTACGTTTGCCCACCACATCCACATTGGGTAAATCAACACAAACTCTTGAGTGATCCTGGAGTCGGCTGGCCCCGCCCTGGCCCAGGGCTCACAGACACTTGAGGGACATGCCACGCCCCGTCCATGCTGACAAGCGGTTCAGCTCTCAGGTGTCAGCCCTGCGTGCCTCACATCCCCTTTCTCTCCTCTGACAGGGCACTTGTTCTCAATTGAACAGCAAAGGTATTGTGTTCCCATTTGTATTTAGGAATTTTAAACTATGGAGAAAATGGAAAGGCTAATTTTAATGTTATTTACTTGTAAATAAAAGAAGATAGTATAGGGGGAAAAGGACCAAAGGATCTGTTTAAGGAGGAAAAAAGGAGAGAAGAACTTCCAGAGAAAGCTCATTTTTTTTTAAATATCATTTTTTTTTAATTTTAAAAAATAAGCAAATTTTCTACCCACATCTGTCCTCTCAGATAAGAATTCAGGGAAATTCAAAGGATTTTGAGGTATTGTCAGGAGAGGGCCAGCACACAGCCTCTTGATAACCTCATGAAACACACAGCAAGTAGAGCTACCGGTCCAGATCGCATTGTGCACAGAATCCAGCCCTGGGCACGCAAGGGCTCACGGGGCGCCTGCACCGTCTCGGCCTCGCACTGTTTCTCTCTCCTTTCTGACGAGACTCCTCTTTGTCAAAGTCATGTATTGGGGCCAGGGAGCATGCAGTATAGGAGAAAATTACCCTAAAACATTGTCTCAATAGGAGGTCAGGGATTGACAAGCATAAAGTGAATGCCTATTGGCTAAACATTTTAATGTTCTTCCTTAGCTTGATAAGCTGAATTGTCAGAGCTTAACTGTGAGGTTCACAGCCCCTGTGAGGCCAGGAGACCTGGACAAAGTTTTTAAATGTTCAGCTCTCATTCATTGTGCTTCTGAAGGCAACTGAACACACACTGTGCGTGCGGGACCTGGCCCGGGTGCTCTCCTGTAATAAAAGCAGCAACTGTGTGCTGCTGCCTGAGTTTTCCAGCCTCTTCTATGGTCCTCAAGAGACTTGCAGATGCCAAACTTCACAGAGGGGCACAGATGCCCTGGCCGGGGTGGCACGTGACACACAAGTAGAAGAGAAAGGTCAGGTCCCATCTTGCAAAGAGTGTTCTCCCTGGCCTTATCTCCTAATTGCTCCACCACTTGTAAGTGCTGAACTGGGTTCACAAGTGTAGAATCATCTTAGGGGACAGGGCCCTTCACTGAGTTAGACATAGACTTTTCATGAAAGCCACCAGTATAACTTATGAAAACAATCTAGGTCAAGTCTCTTGAGAGTTAGTCTAAAAATGTTTGCAGAGATACAGCTCTGCTCTAGGAATATGAACTCAGAAATGGTTTAATAATAACAGCAACAGCAACTAACACTAATTGAGCCCTTTCCACAAAAGGGGCACTTTACACAGTTAATTTATTTAAATCTATGTGGAAGTTTACTCTATTATTCTTGCTTTATAGATGAAGAAACTGAGGCACAAAGAAACTAAATAACTTGTCCAAATCACACAAAGAAAAAACAAACTCAAGGAAGTAACTAATAGGCATTTAGATTTCTCTAAAACTTTTAACGTAGAGTTAATTTTAGCTTTTCAGAATTAGAATTGACCTGGTTTTAATGGGCACACAAATATAAATAATAAACCATAAAGAATAAAGCTTATGGTCCAAATGAAAAACAAAGGGGTTGTGAAAGTACATTTCCTGTATACCCTTCACCTAGCACCCCCAGCATTAACATTTTTATTTAACTATAGTTTATCAAAGCAGTACATTTTTAAATGATATGTGATAAATTTGTGAATAATAGGTACCTGTATTACTCACTAGAAATTGTGTTTAAAAAGACATCAAACTTATCCCAGTATAGAAGGGCTACAAGGAATACAAAGCCAAGGTCCTTTAGAGCAGCACCTGCCTGCACCTCCGCCCAACCCAGAGTTCAGGCTCAGGTTTGTCTGGACAAATGGTCTAAATACCAATAGCTACCATTTATTGAGTACTTACAACACTTAGACCGTTCATAGAACTGGACCTTGGTATTGTGTGGAGCGCTTTCTATTCATTGTTTCATTGACCCCCTCACACAGTACCACAAAGTGCTGTTATTATCCTCCTTTTTGAGATGAGCCAATGAGCTGCGTGAAGGGAAGTAAATTGCTCCACATTATAAGGTAGAAATTAATGCAGTGGGAACCCAGACCTGACTCCCACACCTGTAGCCATAAACCCCCTAGGCCTTATTTACTAAAGAGTCTCCTTTCGAATAAATACCCAACCCATAAATATTTGCAGAACCCCTATTCAGCACTCCACATGTTCTTTGAGGTTACAGACGGTCCAATGTGGGACATAGAACCAGGGTAGAAAGAGGAACACATGAAAGAATGAAAGGACAATCCGAGCCCCAGTATAATTAATGCTCAGTTATGTGGGTGCTAAATAGTGCACCCATGGGAGGTGCTCAGAGTCACGGCGGTTAGTGGGGAGGGAGGACACCATGGAGGAGACCAGGAGGCTGCCGACATTGGACAAGCAGAGGGAAGGGAGCCCTGTAGAGGGCTTTATGGGACGAGGGAATTAGCCTGGCTTTCATGAGGACACAGATACAAACAATGAACCGTGATGAGGAGAGCTGATGGTTCAAATGCAAGTGATTTCCTGGAAAATGCACTTGAACTCTGAGCAGCTGTGTTAATTGTGGATCAGCTCCCTCTCCGTTTTACCTGCACAGACTCATTCAAACCAAAAATAATTTCAAAAAAAAAAAATAGAAACTCCCAGCAGACTCCTGCTTTGGGACGGAAATCACCCTCTTGAGATCAGAGATGAGTTTCCTGTCTAGATCGGTATATTTATAGGCAAGGCCCCTGCTTTCCTGCTATATTTTTTTTTGCCCTTGGTCAGTGGTGCTGATGTTATCTGAACAGTGTCTTTTTTTTTTCCTTTCAATATGTGATTTTAATAGGTTTTCTACATTCTTGTGTGCTTTTTTATTGGGTTTGGGGGCGTGGTAAAATCCCTTATGGGAACTAATTTTCAATTTAATGTTGTAAGTAAATGGAAAAAATATCATATGTTTTACAACTGTTTCAGGAACACATCTCTCCCACAAATAGATTATTCTGCAAAAGAGTCTAATTTTCTCTCCTACTTTGGGTTGTCAATTTGGCATGGAGATTGAAGTTCTAAAAGGAGTTCCACGGAGGAGGGGCCTTCCTGCAGGCTCAGAGCTTTTTTGCACCATAAGGGTCCCATCTTCTGTCTAACCTCCCAGGACTGTGCAATTGGGTGCCCATGTCTCAGCACACTAGCTATTGAGACTTACCATGATGTTGTTGTTATTAAAATAACAACATTCCTTCAGTGCTTTTCCACCTTATAAAATAGCATGCTTGCTGCAGAGCCAAGGAGTGAGACTCTGCTTCGTGTAGTGACCATGTACTCTTTTAGCCCTTCACTTGTTACACATTTACTGAGCATGCGTCCCGCTCTCTGCCAGGCACTGGGATGCTGAAATAATTAAGACATGGCTCTCATCATGGAATGTGCGGTCTTTAGGGGGGAATTAAGACATGAAAGAGAGCGGCAGGACAGTGCTCAAGGTGCCTTTCAGTGTGGTGGAAGCTTGGGAGAGTGGGGCCTCACCTGAGGAAGCTGCAGATGGCTTCCTGGAGGACGTGCCAGCAGAATAGGGGGACTGGTGGGGAGGGGGCTTTTCAGTAAAAGATTCTGAGTCATGGAAGGGCAGGGGGTGTTCAGAAAGCTCGACACAGACCAGGAATTGGGGAATCCTGAGTGTGAGGTGGGGAGAGATGGGGGGAAATTTCTTTCCATTTTCAAGCGAGTAGGGCCACAACCATCCCACTTTACAGAATGCACAGTTCTTAGGAGTCATGCAGTATAAGCTTCAAGTTAAATACTTCACTTTCAAATGGGAAGACTTTTTTTTAAGTACATTCTTTTTTTTAAATCCTCACCTGAGGATATGTTTATTGATTTGGGGAGCCAGGGAGGAGACAGACAGACAAACAAACATCAATGTCAGAGAGAAGCATGGATTAGTTGCCTCCTGCATGGACCCTGACCAGGGGTCAAATGCACAACCTAGGTATGTGCCCTGACCAAGAATCAAACCTACAAACTTTTGGTGTGCAGGACAATACTCCAACCAACTGAGCCACCCGGCCAGGGCTAAATGCTGTCATCACTGTCATTTTGTGACTTGAGGAAACAGGG